GGGGAAATGTTCTAATAATAATAATAATAATAATCTTTATTTCATGCTATTACCTTACCAGATCTGTGCAACAGAAAAAGTGGATGCCATGACACACAACACGGGGACAAATATGCGTAGTGATCCAGTGATCCAGTGATCCAGTTCTCAGGAACATTCACACACCTTTTGAAGCATCACACCAACCCCAAAGGATATGAAGGTGGCACTTACATGGGGATTTTAATAAGAAGCACTTGGGCACATGGAGAGAACGAGGTTACAATAATGTCTAAATTGCACTCTTTCGCATCTGACTGTCTGTAGCCTTATTCCAGCCCTCTAACCCAGACTTTTCCAAGTGTGGACCCCCAGATCTATTGGACTATACTTCCCATCACCCCTGACCATGGCCAGAAATGTTGGGAGCTACGATCCAATGGTATCTTGGAAGCTGTGGTATGGAAAAATCGGTCTGATGAAGACACTCTGCACAATTTCTTGCCTAAGCTTGTTCGCTTCTCTTTCGCAGCTTCTGAATTCCCATGTGAGGAAAAGCCAAAAGGAGTTACATTTCCGCCTTTACAGGACTTGGTTTTGTGTTGACGTTTCCTACTACAGAGTTTTTACTTTCAGAGAGGAAAAGTGGATGAGCACAGGGGAAACATCGAGGCAAACATGAGAAAATAATTTGGCTTGGTTTCTGCTCACCGCGCTCCTGTTTCCTTTTCAGGCTTGCTAACAATACCTTAACCATTTATGCATTTGCTGAAGCCATGCAGTATCTAAAAATGTCTATATTTACATTACCTCCAAGCAGAAGAGGAGGTGCACACAGACAGAATGAATCTAAAGGGGTGATTTCAAATGATATTTTTGAGCCAAAATGCCATTAGAAAGCAGGAATTATATGCAGTTTCAAACTACATCCTATATGCAGATGTGCATGAGAAACCCAACAGGTGCTTCTAGACTTCCTCACTAAGGATTTCTTGCTTTCATTTCTGCAAGTTTCCACATTCCCTTGATTCTGCCGAGACCTTTCTCTTGTGCATGGGAAATACAGCAAGCAGTTCCATGCCGACTTGCTCTTTGGGGACTTAGGAAAAATCATTAACTGCTACTGTTCCAATGGCTCCCACCCCCACACCTACCCTGCATGTTCATGAGGAACTCCTATCCTAATGTTCTTAATGTATGACTTGGGTTCTGTTCAAGCATTAACTCTGCTTTTCACTTGGTTCTTGCCTATGCAGCCAAAGCCAGCGTTTTGAACTCTGTCTACAATGTAATTTGTCACTTTGATAAAAACCTCAGCATCCCTTTTTTTCCTTTGGTTTCTTCTTTGCCTTAAAAAAACGTACTTACATTTGTGGTGAGAATCCTTTTTTTTTGACTTTGAAACAAAGGAGGAAAGACTTCCTCTGGTATTGCGTTGCTGGCATATATTCCTTCATAGCAAGATCTATTTAGGTCTTGGTCGGGTCCCCCAAACAGAGTTAACTTGTTCTTAAACTGCTACAGTAAAGGAGAGAATTTATTGGTGCTTACCAAAGAAAAGGGACTGCAGGTGGTGCAGTGGTTTAAACTGCTGCGCTGGTTGATCAAAAGGTCGCCAGTTCGAATCTGCACAATGGGGTGAGTTCCCGTTGCTCCGTCCCAGCTCCTGCCAACCTTGCAGTTCGAAAGCACGCAAATGCAAGTAGATAAAAAGGTACCACTTCGGTGGGCAGGTAACAGCATTCCATGCACTTTGGTATTTAGTCATGCTGGCCACATGACCACGGAGACTGTCTGCGGACAAACGCTGGCTCCCTCGGCCAGGAAACGGAGATGAGCACCACCCCCCAGAGTCAGGCATGACTGGACGTAACGTCAAGGGGAAACCTTTACCTTTACCTTTTTTACCAAAGAAATGTTCACATAATAGTACAACAGAATTAAGGCAGTGCCGTTCATTCCTTGCATCTTGATTGGATATGTCTGGAAAGAGGTACCCTCACATATTTAGTGGTACATTCAGCATGTGATAAGGACTCTAATAATTGGAAGGTTCCCAGTTGAAGGGAAGATTCTAAGCAAGTTTAGTTAATGCATGAAGATTCTCTTATCAACTCTTCTTGATCAATCTCCCTGCAAAACTGTATAGAGAAGAAACCAAATGTCTGCATTGCTGTACACAAAGCCTTGGTTCAGAAGCCTTCAGAGGTGTGTGTCCAAGCAACTTCCATACAAACCCAGAAGTGTATGGGAAGTTATTATTAGATAATGCATTTTCTTTCCCCATTGGAAACCAAAAATTTCCCACCAAGCTGTTTATAGTAAGTCACTGCCATCTCTTAAAAATAAAAAGGGAAGGATGAAGGAAAGATGAAGATGAAATGGTGGAATGCCATGAAGATATGGGACAGCCTCCCACTCAATCAGACTGCACCGCTGGCCCACAGAATCTGGTGTTGTTCAATTGTAGAAGCTCTCCAAACCAACTGTCTACCTGGAATCCATCAAATGGAAATAGTTCCAGTAGAACTGGGGGTTCAGTTTTGAACAATGAATCTTGCCCAGTCAGAATGCAAGAATACAAGCCTGATGGGAAACATAATCCTGGGATTTAGAAGAACCAGAAGAAGTACAGCAGCAGTGGAAGGAAGAGACTTGAACAGAGGCTATGTGAGAACTGAGTTCATCCCTGAACACAGTATGACAGAGACGCATGGCTTTTTCTTGGGCACCCAGCAAATCCCAAAATCGGGATACTTTCTGAACACAGGCAACCACTGAAGTACTTACAGCAAACCTCAGTTGGGTAATCATTCCAGACACATTACCGCTACCCTCAAAATGAGCTAATGGGTGCTAATCTAATAGTCCCTGCAATTGCTCTTTATATGGTAATTAGGTGAGTTTTGTTTAGTAATTCCAATTAGGCGTTAATTATAGATTTGGTGTTTTACTTGGCGATTACACTACAGAGACATAGGAGTAATTACTATATGCCACCTCCTTCCATCCTACATAAAAATGCATGATAAGGTGGACTTAACAATGGCTTAGGCACTCAAGTAAAGTTGTGATTATTGAGTTGTACAAACATGTGCCCAGCTCACATCTGCAAAGGTGTTATTAAGAACACAAAAGGGAAAACATATTTGGTTTGCAAGGACATGTTGCTAGCACAAGTCCTTGGTGTGGATCCCTTCTTGTTCCAGCTTTGGATTTCACTCCTACTGCTGCTGTTGCTACAGACAAATTGTGCACCCTTAAAAATTGACACTTAGTACGTTCCAATTTCTGTGCTGGATAAAACGGAGAGTATATCTTGTAGCGATGTTTAAACCAGTAAAGCTCGAGGACTGGAGGTTCTCTGGTTTGCTCCTCAAAGCAAAATCTGACTTGAGTCCGTGTCAGATTGTGGGCTTCTCCCAGCACCCCTGTGAGTACACCCACTTTCCAACTGTATGCATCTTCGCACTGCTTACCCCTGTCCAATGTGTGCTCCTTTGGAACACATTGGGGAAAAACAATCAGACTTCATTAAGTAATCAGCTTTGACAGTAATCGAGCCTGTCAAGGTGTGGGTTGCTTGCAATGGGACAAGGAATCCACTGATTTGCTTTCCCTGTCCAGAATTGTAACTTGCTTCTTGCTCTGGCCCAGACAAGCGGGGTGGAGAGTTGAAGGAACAGTAGATGATCAGCTCGCCGCCTGCCAAGTGTGCACATAGGGAACAATGAGGACTCCTGGCTTTGTTCCCAGCTCTAGTGCTTGGCATGGTAGGCATTTGTCCGGCCCCTCGATGTAACTTCACTTTGAAGAGCTGTCCATTCCCACTGCCATGTTTTAAGACACCCCTATGTCCATGTCTTCCGTTTGATGTAAATCTCAAATCTAGTTGAGAGAGGGAGCACCTAAGAAAGAGAGAGCAGGGCCTTTGAAGAGGCCCCTGGTAGAACCTAGAGAGCTGGCTCTCTCCTTGTCTCAGTGGTCCTCCAGGGTGTCAGGCAAGGTTTTCTCCTCCTAGTCCTCTCTAGAGAAGCTATGTTTTCATCCCAAGACCTTCTACGTGCAACCACTGAGGCATGGCTCCTCCTGCACTAAACATGAATTAGCACAAGCGGTTTCTAGGCAAAGCCGAACCTTCCACATTTCAGTAATGCAGTTCCGCTAATTGGATAATGCCCCTCATCCTTAATAAATAAGATCTGTTTTAGCCCAGAGAGAAGAGACTGATCTAGTTCAGTCCCTTCTTGTTTGATCAAAACACACCTTATCTTTCAAAGTATTATCTACCAGCTGCATTTAAAAATAAAAAAATCTACTCTCAAATAGGTGCAGGACCAGATTTGGAATGGGATCCATCAAGCAGAGTAGGGGAGCTTTTGAGGACCTTCTGTATCTACTTGAGAGTACAAAAGAAAAAAAAAGGAAGATAACTACTAGATACAGATTTAAAGTTTTGCCTTTCTGACTCCTGACGTTAACCCTGAGCTGTTCCCTGCTTCCCAGGCTAAACTCCTGGCTTACTCCGGGCAGCTGCTCCCATCTTGATATTCTAATTCAGGAACCACCAGCAAAACCAGGACATGTGTCAAACACACTGCATGCAACAGAATTTCTACAAACACAAAGAATGATTGGACTGGCCTGAGTGGCTGTTGTTCATTTGCTTGAAGGTATAAAAGTCTTTTTTCCTTTCTTTTCTTAAAAACAATGCATCCTGGAAGTATATATTTCAGCATAATAGGAAAAGGAAGAGATTCAGAGGTTATGGCTGATTAGCTGGAGCGTGTGCCCTGTTTTGACAGGTTAACTTGATCAGCTGCAGAAAGTTCACCCCGTTCTCATTCTAATTTATGTTATGTGTAGTATAGACCTTCTCGCTTGAACACTTACATTATTCTAAACAATTATATTGCTATGATACATATAATGCTCGGCTCTTGAACATCAAGTCTGTTAATGATGGCAGACTGTTAACGTGGTGTGTTTCTTTTTCCAAAGGTCAGGCATCATTTCTTCAGTAGATTAACATTTTATCTTTTAATAGTGTTAGGAAAAGGTCAAAAGATTCTAATAGATGGCGTATGGAAAGCATCCATGGAAGATCAATGTGTGAAGTATTTTTTTGTAAGTCTCCCAACACTGCCACTTAATGACTATTTCTACTCGTTCCTTTCTCTCTTGACAGGTTGAAAACTCTGATTACAGCTTTGCACACTGCCACGTCTTCCCCTCATATTTATGGATCTCTCTTTTGTGCTTCTCGTTTCTTTTTTCCCCTGGAATATTTCTTTATTATAAAAAAACAAAACACAAAATTTCTTTAAGCAATTAACACACCCTCAGGCAGCTAGCATCTTTTATATAAATTTTGCCTTCCAAATGAATGCAATGGGCCAATCCCCAATGACTAGAAGGGAGTTGATTTTATATTAGCTTAACTGAATACGTTTGCAATAATTATATGGCAAATGTTATTTAAATCAGCTCTCTTTCTTCTTAAGCAATATGCAATTTAAGGTTGTCAGCAACCGGGGTCTCAGAAAGGAAGGTAGCTCTTGAGATGAAGGTTTTTACTAAGGTTAGGAAGATGGTCATTCTTCTATGCAAAGTATCTGTATGACAAATGCTATTCCCTGTTGAATTATCTTCAATTCATTTGGGGATCAGGTTGCGTTATGCTCAGATTATGTCTAAAATAGGAGAAGAAGCCCTTTCAGGGTATTAGTCTATCTCTAGCCTAACTTTATGAATACTCACTGGGTCTTGCTCTCAGGAACTCGGGCGATAGCCTTTCTTCCCGGCTTTGCATCCCAAGGACCTCCTAAAACAAGCAAGCAAGGAAGCTAGCAAACTATTTTGGGAAGTTCATGGTGACATAGCATCTTCTCACAACAAATGTGCTCTCATACTGTTATGTCCCTCTCCAGTAATCTCTCGCACACCAGTGTGTCTCTCTTTACACATTTAGTACATCTCAGTGCCAATAGCACTGCCCATGTGCTATTTATAAGCTGGCCTTTCCCCCCACTTCTTTTGAATTTTCTTTGGGGTTCAGTGAGTGCATCTTCCATAGTGTCACGGCTTGTTCTCGCCTTTGGAAGAAAGATATTAGGAAAAGTTGTAAGTGCAATTAAAATAATCACAGGGGGAGCTGTACAGTGTGGATTGTTGTGACTTAAAGCTGGGCAAAATGCAGGTCGCAAGCCTGAAGTTACGTTTTCCTTGATGCCAAATCCTCTGACTAGAAGGACCTGCCCGGCATGCAGCAATGCAGGGGCTGGCTGTAGATACCCATCCCATGTGATGCAAGGTCCTTTCTGCCTAGTGGGCCACTTGGAGGTTGGGGGGCAGAATCTGCACATCTCTGTGCATGGATGCACATTACTGCAACACCCGTACATCATCCGGAAAGCTCCAGCTCTGGGACGGCATAGAAAGGGAAATTAGCTGCAACAACCAAACATGCACATACAGCACCATCTCTCTTTCATGCATCTATCAGTCACTCACATCCACTTCCTGCCCAAAAGATTTTCAAAGGCCCAGCATTTGCTTTGATCAGATAAAAGCATTGCTCCTCCCAGAAACTTCACGTTCTCCGGATTTTGACACACTCTGTTACATACAACTTTTTTTATTTTGTAGGGTGGGGACCAAGAAAGGGGAGACAGTCTTCAGAAATAGGTTCTATGGTCCTAGCCCCAGATGGTCTGCTCCTAAGAAGCAAGAAGGAAATTTTGAACACTGTTTCTTCATCTACTCCGGGGATACTTGAAGAATGAGACTTGAAGACATAGAACATTCTTCTAGAGCTTCTTGGTCTTTTTCTTGGTTCTGCCTGGGAGGCTTCCAGACAGGACTTCTGCTTGTACTTTTGTTCCCCTGATAAACACAATTAGCTGTCTGCAAACCCTTTAAAGTTTGTTTGAGGTTACTTCTGAGTACACATGCTTAGAACGTACTGTCAGGCTGCAGTCTTGTATTTACTGGGAGAGCAAGCTCCACTGAATTCCAGCAGGTTTTGGAGTAGATAGATATGGTATTGCACTGCATTGCATTGTATGAGCACTACCACATATTTCCAAAGTGGAAAGGCTGTAGATCGGCAGCAGATGAGATGCTTTGCATGGAAAAGGTCCAAGGTTCAGACCCCATTACCTGACAGCTTCCACACTCCTGCAATCCCAATGACATTTACGGAAACTCACCTCTGGTTTAGCCCTAACACGCACAATATTTTAATAACTGCAGTAGCTGGGGAAGTGATTATTGGGAACAATTTCCTCCAAATAAGGACTGTTTCTGAGGAAGGAAGGAAGCAAGCTAGCTTGTTATATTCCCTCAAAATGCAGAATATGTGGTCAAGAAAGCCTCATTCTCCAAGTCGAGATCAGCAAACTCTTGAATAAGCCCAAGCCATGCAGATCAGACCAGGTCCAGCGAAACTTCCAGATGAATTTCCCCACCAGAAGCCACCCCAAACTCGCTTTATTAGAGCCATGGACTTGGTTGTGGGTCTGCAGCACACTTAGGTTGAAGATTAATCCGGCCCTGGAATCACTTGGCATTTGGAGCAGAGCTGTTTGCTCTCTTTCAGCAGTTCTGCTACCACGAAGCAACAGCTGTTGCTCATATTAAAGGAGATAAACCTACGAGGAAGTCCATTAAAGATAGAAGTGACTTCCCTTTCTGTATTTGATGAGACACTTCAAAGAATGGGTGAACGTGATGCCGTGTCAGCAATGAATGCAAAACAAACACGGGCAATGCTGAACTAAAAATAAAAGAAATAAAAACACAGGCTTGCCTGCATTCGATAAACAAGATACCAGTCAGATAGTTCCCACCCCAACTCATGCTTCACATGTCCTCATTATTACTAAGTGACATGCATTTGAGAGTGTAATCTGATATTATGTAAGTCTTTTGACATTCATTTGACAATGGATATGGGGAAATAAAACAAAGAGGAAAGCTGACTTTGATTTAGCGATTTGTGATAGCCATTTCTTCTTTTTATATTTCTGTGTGCGTGTGTGTGAAGGAATCTTCAACAATTTAATCCAGTGAACTCCTATATGAACTGGGCTTCTGCAGTCGTATGGGCTGAGAAAAATAGTTATTTGGTTTTACAGTTCTTGAATACTTTGATGTGATCATTTGCTCAAAAACTGCAACACAATGCCATTAAAAATGTACTTGTTATGAGTATTTCTTAAGCATGCTATTTAAGGAAATGTCTGAAGTGCATACTTAAATATGTACCAAAGAACATGTGTTTAAATCAGGGATGAAGTGATCATATGGATTAATGCATAGGGAAATGATATAGACCCGAAATAGAAAATAGACGGATTCCCCCCACCCTCTCCCTCCCTCATATACACTCTTACTTCTCTGATCCTGGAGATCTGATTCTTTTCTACCCTGCAGGGGACAGTATTGGGTTAAGAACAGTAGAGGAAAAATCTTGTGATAATATGACAAAACACTTGCTTCCAATTATCCAAATTGTACTTTGCTAATTGAGGTACAAAAGAAAGGTCTGGTCATGAGACTTGGGGAAGGGTTCTTCTTTTGGCTTGAGATCAGCAGTATGAAAACAGGGTGCTGTCTCTCAGCTGTACTCACTTGGACGGAAATAGCTTCTCCCACTGGCATTAGTGACAGAGAAGGGAATGCTGGAGAGCATCTTAGTAGCCCAGGAATAAGTATACAGCCAAATAAAAGCATTCTTACGATAGCAAAAATGGATTGGTGTTTCATTCTGTGGAATTGGTACTGGTTTCTATCCCAGGAAGCAAACTATGAACTCTAGTGATCCCCAGATGTTGTAATTTTTGCCTCCCAGTAATTTCCAGTGGTTGTGATCCTGAAAAGCTGGGGTAAATCTTTCTCTTATACCTTGTTTGCTTCCACAGAGCGACTGTGCCTCCAAACTGTATTCATGCTGCAGGTGAAGCAGAGGAGGAGGAGGAAAGAGGAGGAGGAGGAGGAGGAAGGTGAGTATGCACATTTGTTTTCTTTTGCTCAAGGGGGCAGGGCTAGGACGAATCAGTCAAAATATCAGGGAAGCAGTTTTTGGTTAAAAATGACAAGGCTGTTCCTAATGATCACAATTGCTCATCAGTAGTGCTTCCAACTCTCTTGGAAAATGAAGGCACTTCTTCATAGGAGGTGTTTAAGATGAAGCTTGGGTGGTCAACCATCAGAAATGTTGTACTTGCATCCTGCATTTGGCAAGAGTGTTGGCTTCCAAGGCCATGTCTAAGTCTCTGTTTACACAGTTCCAACTTTTAGAGTTACCGGTGTTGGAATGTCTATGCCCTTCAGTGAGGCAGCTAACAAATCAAGGCAGACTTGAAAAGCACTAAACTACAATTACGAACAGAAAGGAAGAACTTCAGCAGAGACATAAAACTATGTGCTACTGGTTACAGCAGGGGTGTGGAATCCTTTTCAGCCTGAGGGCTGAACTCTGTCTTGGAAAAGTTTGTAGTGGTTGCATTCCAATGGAAGGCAAGGCTGAAGGGAAAAGGGTTGGGACCAAAACTACCAGAGTATTTAACTTAATGCTTCTCCTGGAATTCTGGATTTGTCATGCAATGCTGATGTTCTGCACCCTAGAACAACAACTGTGGGAACTTATGAGGCACCCAGCTCCATGCAACTCCTGTGTATTGGTTTGAAAGGGATACTGGGGGTGATTCCTTAGATGGTCCACACAACCAGGAACACTTGAAAATAGAGAAAGTAGAGAGGAATGTTGTTGTTGTTGTTGCTAGTCGCGAAGTCATGTCCGACCCATCACGACCCCATGGACAACATTCCTCCAGGCCCTCCTGTCCTCCACCATCCCCCGGAGTCCACCTAAGCTCACGCGACTGCTTCACTGACTCCAACCAGCCACCTCATCCTCTGCCGTCCCCTTCTTCTTTTGCCATCTATTGTTCTCAGCATTAGGCTCTTCTCCAGGGAGTCCTTCCTTCTCACTAGGTGGCCAAAGTATTTGAGTTTCATCTTCAGGATCTGGCCTTCTAAAGAGCAGTCAGGGTTGATCTCCTCTAGGACTGACCGGTTTGATCGCCTTGTGGTCCAAGGGACTCGCAGGAGTCTCCACCAGCACCACAATCCAAAGGCCTCAATTCTTTGGCGCTCAGCCTTCCTTATGGTCCAGCTTTCACAGCCATACATTGCAACTGGGAAAACCATAGCCTTGACTATACACTTTTTCTATGTCTTCCATAACAATCAAACATGAGGTCATCCATGAAGCTGATTGGTGGGGGGTTTGGGACAGATTAAAGAAAGTTCTTCTTTACACAGTGTATAGTTAAACTGTAGAATTGGCTACCATGGCAAGTGGTGATGGCCCCCCATCTGGATGGCTTCAAAGCAGGCTTGGGCAGGTTCGTGGAGGAGGGGGTGGCTATCTGTGGTGATTCGCCTTGCTGGCCAGGGGCCACCTCGTTTGCCAGAGGCAGCATGCCTGCACACATCAGTTGCTGAGGAGCTAGGGCAAGAGGAGGAGGATGTCTTGCACCCATCCTCCTGAGGGATCCTGTGGGCAGCTGGTTGATCCCTGTGTGTATGGAGCGATGGACTGGATGGACCTTCGGTCTGATCTACTTGCCCTGACAGAAATTCCTGGTCCTTGATTCTCAGTCCCCAGTGACATAGGATGGCCACAATGACCAAAAGAAGTTCCATACCAAAGAGGGTTCTTCAAATGTGGAACCTACTTCTTTGAAGTGGCGTCTGCTCTGTAATGTATACATGTCTGCTCCATCATGTGTCAAAGGGTTCTAAAGTTTCCCCCCG